TACTATAACAACAACCCCTTTTTCTTTCATTTTTAACTTTTTGTAGATTCTGTAACATTGAAAGAAACATCCGCGAATCGTTCAAGCTTACACACACACACATAAAACCGAAAATTTATCAACAGTAAAAGTTAGCTACTGTATCCGCTAGGAGTGCCACATGATATCCCGTTTAATATCTGTTTAACTTGTTACGTAAAACAATACCGAGCGATAAAATAAACAGACCTAAAAAGAGAATAGTGACGCACGGGGGGGCAAGGTTCAGTGAAGTAAAAACCATTAATGCATAGTATATAATTACATACAATATATATATATCACTGGTGATTGTTTATGTCAGTACCTAACTAGCTATATCGTGAATTGGTTCACTCTATTTTTTTAATCACGTGGCTAAACGCATGCTCAGAGTACTTTTGTGGTTATAATCACTTGTGCACACATCATTTAATCAAAACAAACTACGACATTATTATGCCTGCATGTCGCACATTTCTAATCATCGTCAACATGGCGTCATTTCCGGTCCTAGTCCTCGGTATAACAAATTACAAACTGTATCATTCTTGGCTGAAATTGGCAATATTAAGCAATGAAGAAACGCACGTGACTTATCTGTTGAAGCTATCTCACATAAATATATATATATATGTTGTGTAATGGCACAACGGTTTCCTCTATAACAACGTCAGTGTTCACGCATGAACACTGATTTCACTTGTGTATAAAAAACACTCGACCAGTTACATGTGTACCGTTAGGACTAAAACTTTGGGAAATATCCCAGGATTAAAGTGTACTAACCTTTAGTTTTACTATACTGCTCATAGATCTAAGTTGATCAACATATATTTTATGTTGTTGTTGGTATAAAGCTATAACGTTGAACGTCACACAATACGTATATGACAGTGCAGAAGGTTTGTTCTTGTAACACTGTATTCATTATTTGACGGTTGCTGATGTTAATATTGTTAACACTGTATTCATTTCCTGGTAGTATATTATGCTGTTTTGTTTTAATTTTGCACAAAGCTACAGAATGGGCTATCTGTGCTTTGCCCACCACGAGTATCGAAACCCGGTTTCTAGCGTTGTGAATCCGCAGACATGCCGCTGTGTCACTGGGAAGCATTATTATTGGTTTACTATTATCCTTATTTTACAGTTATGGTGAGTATACTGCTTTGTTAGCTTAATATTAATTTTAACTTAAACCTCCTGAGCTGATCGAATCTTGTGAGATAATATTGGGATTACGGCCAAAATGATCGTAAACAGCGAGTGAGATAATATTGGGATTACGGCCGAAATGATCGTAAACAGCGAATATATCAAATTGATAATCCAATGTATTTTAATTATTTTAGGTTTTAATTTTCTTGTATGACAGTACGTACTCCTGGTCAGTTTGATTTACGTACACATTTTTAATTTACTTCTGCTCTATAGAATTAGCATATTTTACATAAAAATTATCAATAACTGTAATCATTAGATTGTAGATATATATTGTAGTCATTAGCCTCTAGTAATATATTGTTAACACTGTAGTCATTAGCCTCTAGTATAATATTGTTAACACTGTAGTCATTAGCCTCCAGTAATATATTGTTAATATTATAGTCATTAGCCTCTAGTAATATTGTTAACACTGTAGTCATTAGCCTCTAGTAATATATTGTTAATATTATAGTCATTAGCCTCCAGTAATATATTGTTAATACTGTAGTCATTAGCCTCTAGTAATATATTGTTAATATTATAGTCATTAGCCTCCAGTAATATATTGTTAATATTGTAGCCATTAGCCTCTAGTAATATTGTAGTCATTAGCCTCTAGTAATATATTGTT